TCCTTTCTTAATCCTCAAGGCTACTCTTATGTTTGTGATTTCTGTAGCATCTCCATTTCTTCTCATTGTCTCCCACCTCCTCCTACTGTTTCCTTGAGTCCTCTTAGTTATCAGTAAGCTATTAATTAATAAGTCCAGTAGACTTTTCCAAGCTGCTATTCTTATCTCTTAAAATTACTGGCCAAGATTATCAGTTTGAAAATTACCACAAGCATTCAAAGGTAATATGTTTGCCCTTAAATGCTTTTTAAGAATAGAAAAAAAAAGAGTGAAAGAAAAATAATGTAGGAAAACATATACAAATTGATAAAAATATTAGACATGAAGGGAGAAGGGACTCGGGAGCTCACAGAAGTGTGAGTTATGTATAGACTGGACTCAGGGAAGATTTTAAGGTAGATGAGAAACTCATAGAAGCTTAGATAAAATTTACTGTATTTTGTCATTAGAAGCTTTCAGTCTGCTAAAGAGGCCACACTCCAGTGGATAAAAGGATGTGGATTTTTATTATTATTAAGAAGTGGAAGAAAGTAGATTACACTTATGGTGAAATACAATGACACTGTTCCAAGAGTGATAACTTGATTGTTGCTTTGGTAGATCTCAAAACACCTGTGCAACTTCCTCAGATGATCAATGGAGGGGGCTGGAGAGATGGCTCAGAGGTTAAGAGCACTATCTGCTCTTTCAGTGGTCCTGAGTTCAATCCCCAGCAACCACATGGTGGCTCACAACCATCTATACAGGGATCTGATACCCTCTTCTGCCATGCAGGTATACATGCAAATAGAGAATTCATCTATAGAAAATAAATAAATAACCCTTAAAAAAAAAACTAGAAAAAAAGATCAAAGGAAAAGTTGATGTGCTTACAAAGTAAGAAACTGGAATAAATTACCAAGAAGTTTTCTTTTGAGAGAAAAAGATTGTATCTTATCTCCTGAAATTACAACAAAGGAAAGAGATGCAGGGAGAGGATGGAGTGAGGGCAGAATTCTATGACGGGCTACACTTGCTATAGAGAAAGAACATTAACAAAGGGATGTTAGGAGGAACCCTTAGATACAAGGCTGGAGAAAAGATATAGGGCCCATGTTTTGGGAAGTAACAGTTGTGTCAAAACGTAAGTCTTGCTGGAAAAGTATAGTCCATAAAGTGGCTAATGATGGGAGAGTTTGCAAGGAATAAATTTGATGTTCTTTACTTTTCCCCTAAGTATAGTTAACTGCCAGCTGCTACATCACAGATTTAGTTTTTGCCTCAGGGAGGGTTTTAGAATAGAATAGCTAATCTGTTGCTGAAAGAAATTTCTATAAACAGAGTCTCAAAAGGTGTTTAGTTCCCAAACTTGTTAAGAAAATTTATTTATATGAAGGAACAGCTCCCCTGAGACTACTGTTGGGCTAATGATCAAGCCACTACCTACCATTTAAGACCATGTGGACTTTTTTTTAAAGAGGCTTTTTCTGTGTAGCTCAGCATAGCCCAGGGTAGCCCAGAAAAGCCCTTGCGATCTTCTAGCTTAGTGTTTTGATTATAAGTGAGCACCACCATGCTTCAGCTTGCTGTCTGTATTTTAAAAAGACCCATTGCCTTTCTATATGGTTGTACTTAAATGTTATTATTCACAAAATCTCACAAAACCAACATTTGATTCCAGATCATTATCAGACAATGAGGAGCATGTTGACTACAACAAGCTAAAAAATCCTTGAGCAATACTAAATTGACTGTTCTCTGATTCTGGGTCATTTTATGTTTATTTTCATTTATTTTTGCCAAGCACCAGATCAGAAAGAGAATTCAAGGCAGACCAGAAAGTATAGCTTAAGACTCAGAAAAGAGAATGAAGGATTTGATTATCATCCAGCTGCAGCTGCCCCAGGGTCTCTTCTAACTCTATAAAGTTTTCAGAAAAACTGAGGTCAGCAAGAATCTTAGTTCTTCTGTAACACAAGCTTTTACCGTGTTTTGCCTCAACTTGTGACAATTTTAGGGAAAAGGTTTATTTTGTTGAGCGAGCCTTAGGAAAAGTCAATTTGCAAAATATAGCTATAGACCTACTAGCTTAAATTGCTCCTTTCTGATGAGTGAAATATTACATTGATATCACTTACAATCTAATTTTAAAATGGACTGAGGAGAAACTAGTCATCTATCCTGTTCGTTGCACAATCTTTGATGGAGCACCTACTGAGTGTTAGATTATAAAGCAGTGCTCAGTCTCAAGAGGCTCATTTTGTTTTAAAATGAAGAAGAATTTACTTCACTGCTTCCAACATAACATCTGCTCTCTTCTTTAAGACTTAGAAACTGCCTGCCTTATGCATTCAACAATTTAGATGGTATGGAGAAAGGCCAGCTTAGATGCTATAGATGGGGGTGGGGCACAGTGACTTGTATACTGAAAAAAATTCATTTAAGAGAGGGTATTGTAATTGAAATAAATGAACTTTACAGGCTGAATTATTTTTAATGTGAAGTTGAGGATCTTTGGAAAGCATGGAGTATTTTGTCCCATTTTTTTTTCCATTGGAAGGCTATATAAAATTAAGCTAATTTGAAAGCCTTGGATCTGGCCCCCACCTGGCAGCAAGGCTAGCAATGGGATCGTGACTCATGCCTGAAGTTAAGTCCTCAGGAATATATTCCTACTATAGAGGCAGAGTTGTGGGGGCCCATCTGTTCTGATTTTAGCTTCTCAGTATTTCTCTAAAGTCCCTTAAGAGCCAGGATAGGGTTGGGGGAGGAAAAGAGGAGGGCAACAAAAATTCCATGTAGCACACTTGTCAAGAGATTCATTTCGTAAATCACTGTTGAGATTTTGACTTACAAGACACAGAGGACTTGTATCCTATAACATTTGTTACTGGTAGCCATGAAAATTCTGGCTAGAATAGCCCGCGTCACTCACTGGGCTTTCTGCTATTTTGGAATGGGGGATTGGAACCCAGGAGTAGCTTTTAGTGGGGAAAAAGGCAAGCTAATTGAGTGGATGCAAGCGTTTCCAGGCTCTGCAACTAGTAAGAAAGTAGGCTGTGTACACAAAGGCTCTCCCCGACTCTTCTCTCTGTTACTCAACTCTCAGGCCCCTACTGAGTTTATGGACATGGGAGATGGGAACATATCCCATGTACACTTAGAAGGGCTAACCCTGGCTTACTACCCTGCTGTGACTATCCGAAAATTCTCAGTTACTTTCATTTTGTGAAGTCCACAATTTATGTTCAGTCCTGGCCCCCACTTCTTAACATTTTGGGCAACTGTATTTGTGTCACCAGGAAACTAGAAAAACTAAAGAGCGTTAAAGTAAACTTAGTCACTACAGGTTGCCTGGTAAGTTGACTGAGTAAGTGAATGACCTAAAAACCTTTAAGTGAAACCAGTTAACCCGAATTGTAGCTAATTTAGCTTTATTAGATATAGAGTAGGGGAATCGTTCTAAATTTTGAGAAAAAAAAAGGTATTTTTAAAAGCCCTAAAATAGTATATAGTTACTGCTTGCTTCCATCATCATATAGGCAATTATTATTTTGTTCTATTGGCGCAAAATGTTTATTTAAAAATAAAAAGGAATCGCTTATGTGTCAAGACCACCTCTGGTACCAGTTTATCTCCTAGCCTGCTCACTAGAAGTCAAAGATCCACCATAAATATGACTTTCTCCCACTCTTTGTTATGTCTTTATAGTGCTAGGAATAATATAGAAAAAATTTGCGTTCATAGTTCTGTAAATGATGGAAACCCATACACTTCATTTTTCGGTTTGCCATTTTATCCAGTGTGCCATTTGTGAACACGTGCTGATTCTGCTGTATCGGTTTATTCTCATCGGTCTATGCAGTGGTATGAAACTTGCTCTTCTGACCTCCAGCCTGCCTTAGTAGGGCTGTCAAAAATGTAGCCAATGGCACTTTCTTTGGTTTGTGGTTCGGTGGCCATCAGAGGTAAAAGATACTAGCCGGAAATACTAGGAAAGCCTGGCAATGATTCTGAAGGATAGTGTTTACATTTATAAAATGGGATTAACAATTTCTGCCATCCAAGATATTTTTTGTGATAGTTAAATGCGACAGCCTATCATAGACTAGACATGCAAAGCCTGGTACTGGGGAGTATCTTATTGTAACATCTACATTGGAGTATTGTGTGGCCTGAAGCAAATATGTAATGGTGATCTTAAATTTTAACTATTCATTTTGCTTTTTAAAATAGCAATAATTGTGTTATACTCTTAACAAATTATAGTCCTGTTTATACCATAAATCCTCAGGTGTGTCTTTTACCATATTGAAAAAAAATAGATTACTTTTAATACACCCTCCGTGGAATAAGAAGGCTTGAATTCCTCAAAACATGAAATGAGTGCACTATTTAAAACACCTTGGTTCTGTTCTTTATGCAATCAGAAAGGGATGGTTACCTAGCCTTTTCTCTTTCATTTCCCTATGTAGCTAATAACTGTACTGGAATTCTGAAGTTCTGTTGGTGCCTAACTGTGCTGCTACATGGAAATCCTATTTGAAAGTTAAAATTTAAAACGAAAAATATATATTCTCTTAAGCTTTAAAAACTCTGAACAGTTCAATATGTGTTTAATATAGTCATCTGATTGAAGACTCTTGTATATGAAGACACTTGAGGGAGATGGACTCTTGTGTATGAAGACACTTGAGGGAGATGGACTCAACAATTGAGAGCTCTTACTGCCCAATCGTGAGGACCAGAATTTAGGTCCCAGCGTGGAAGTAACATCTCACAAACACCTATAACCCTAGTCCTGAGAGATACAGCAATGCGTTCTGGGTTTTTTGCGCGCGCGCACACACACACACACACACACACACACACACACACACACACACACGTGCCTGCATACAATAGCATGAGTATATGCTAATACAAATGCATATACTCATTAATAAAATGAACCTTAAAAGCTTGGACTTACATTCTGAATATCCCTGTGTTTTTTTAACCATCATCTCTTCATTCAACAGACTTTATACAATTCGATATAGAGAAAAAGATAAAGAAAAGAAATGGATTTTTCAACTCTGTCCAGCTACTGAAACAATTGTGGAAAATCTAAAGCCCAACACGGTTTATGAATTTGGTGTGAAAGACAATATAGAAGGTGGAATTTGGAGTAAGATTTTCAATCATAAGACTATTGTTGGAAGTAAGTATGTACTTGGTCCAAGAAATTTTTTTTCTAATTTTCTACTTTAAATCATTTTAATAGCTATATGATACAAAATAAGTTCATTTTCAATAGTTAACATGTTCAAGTACTTAAGAAAATACAAAAGGAATAGAATTTAAACATTGAGAATTCTGAATTTTTTATAATGTGATTTTTTAAAATAGATAATGAACAACTTTGTTTCCAGCTATGACATTGAAGTACTTTGAAATATATATTTGACCTATGAACAGCATCTGAGCTGAACAAATAAAATGTCAATATGTGTAAAAATCACATGGGAAGGTAGGCCAGCGGAAATGGACACAGCCTACTACAGGGAGTCCTGAACTTCTTTTCCTGACCTTTGTACTCACACATCATTGGAATTAATATCTGAAATGACAGTAAATGAAACTACATGCCAAAATAAAGAGTGTGACTTGGAATTAGCCTCACAGTGAGCTAGAATTGATCAAGAGGCAGAAGTAATAAAAATAGTGCCATTTTTCTCCTTGTTTTCAGGTAAAAACAAAGTAAATGGGAAAATCCAGAGCACTTATGACCAGGTCCACACAGTGGTAGGTGCCAATTTATTATTATTAAGAATTTTCTTTAAAGATAATTATATCTGCATTGTATTTCTACTTAGGTGAAGGGACAACCCTACTGTGAGGTGCTGGGATTATCTACTAGACTCTGGGTAAAATATTTGATGATTTAGGAATTAGCTGTTTTGTTTTTTTTTTTTTTTCTAAAAATCATAGAAATATGCTCTCAAACCATTTCTAAATTGTTTAAGCTCTATAATTCATAGATTCAATTCAGTTATTCTAGTATTTGAATATCTAGAGTATTTTGAGATTTTGCTCATTCTTGTAAATTTTTTTTAAAATATATCTATTATTTTATTAATTACAGTTTATTCACTTTGTATCCTAGCTGTAGCCCTCTCCCTATCCCCTCCCAACCCTACCCTCCCTCCCTCATCTCCTCCTATTCCCCTCCCCAAGTCCACTGATAGGGGAGGTCCTCCACCCCTTCCCTCTGATCCTAGTCTATCTGTTCTCATAAGGACTGGCTGCATTGTCTTCTTCTGTGGCCTGGTAAGGCTGTTCCCCCCTCACAGGGAGGTGATCAAAGAGCCAGCCATTGAGTTCATGTCAGAGACAGTCCCTGTTCCCATTACTAGGGAATCCACTTGGAGACTGAGCTGCTGTGGGCTACATCTGTGCAGGGGTTTTATGTTATCTCCATGCATGGTCCTTGGTTGGCGTATCAGTCTCAGAAAGGACTTCTGTGCCCAGATTTTTTCTCTCCTTGCGGAGCTCCTGTCCCCTCCAGATCTTTCTATCTCTCCCCTTTTTTTTTTTCATAAGATTCCCTGCACTCTGCCCAAAGTTTAACTATGAGTCTCAGCCTCTGCTTGGATACACTGCTGGGTAGAGTCTTTCAGAGGCCCTCTGTGGTAGGCTCCTGTACCGTTCCCTGTTTTCTCCCTGTTCTGATGTCCATCCCATTTGCCTTTCTGAATGAGGATTTAGCATCTTAACCCAGGGTCCTCCTTCTTCCTTAGCTTTTTTAGGTGTACAGATTTTAGTATGTTTATCCTATATTATATGTCTAATATCCAGTGATAAGTGAGTATATACCATTTGTTTCTTTCTGCTTCTGGGATACCTCACTCAGGATGTTCTTTTCTAGATCCCACAGTTTACTCTGTACCCCATTTTTTAATTGGATTACTGGAGTTGTTGCTTTTTAACTTCTTTAGTTCTTTATATATTCTGGATATTAGCCCTCTGTCAGATATAGGGTTGGTGAAGATCTTTCCCCAATTTGTAGGCTGTTGTTTTGTTCTGACAACAATGTCTTTGCTTTACAGAAGCTTTTCAGTTTCATGAGGTCCCATTTATTGATTGTTGATCTTAGAGCCTGTGCTGTTGGTGTTCTGTTGATGAAGTTGTGTCCTGTGCCAATTGTCTTGCAAAATTTTAAAAAGGTTTGCTCATCTAATGTGTATGTGTATGTGTGTGTGAGAGAGAGAGAAATAAAAATGAATAAATAAATATGTACACCACATGTGTACAGGTACCTGTGGGCGCTAGGAATCTAATCCCGGTCCTGTGGAAAAGCAGCAATTATTGTTCACCACTGGGTGAGCTGTTTTTCATATGACACTTTAAGAGCTGATTGATAGCTACACGCCCTAGAAACACTGGTAAAGCTCAGACCTTTCCACATTTTGAAATGATGAAACAACTAGTTTGGTTGTCTGAAATGTGCCCAAGCTCTGCTGGGTTCAGTAAATGTTTTGTGTGTTTTGAGCCTTACGGTTCCCACCTTCAACCCTCCCTGAAACTCGTAGGTCTACATGCCATTTTCTGTCAGTTCAGCAAAGGGGTCCTCAGGAATCATGCCATCAATTATGACATAGATTAAAGCTACCAGAGAGAGAGAGATGCTTGTGTTTCATACTCGAGTGTAAGGTGAAATGTGCTTTGCTATCAAACAGATAGAGAGGCACCAGGGTGAGAGAATGGGAATTTGATATGGACCTGAGTTACCATGGGTTAGAATTGTAGAACTTGAGAAGGCTCTCCCAGTCAGATGTGCATGAAGGGTTCTTTTCACTTTTCTGATCAGGTAACCTGAACACTGCTATTCCCTTCTCCCCAATTTTTTTATTCTGGGACGATGACTTTCCCTTGTGTTTTCTAGTTGCTATTGGGGTTTTAAATTCCATCTTTATTTTAGATTAAATCTGCTTTAATGTTTCTGTATCTTTATGGAATTCCATTCTGTATTGTCTTCATCATTTACATATGTCTATGTTTCTTAGGCATCACTGAGGTGTTTATTTCTTAAGTTCATCAAACTGCTTCTCTGTGTCTTCTTTACAGCCATCGAATTCCTTGATGGAGTTTATGATTGTTTTTTTAAATTCTGTGTCCTGGGGCTCATCTGGTAATTCTCATGGAGAACATTTCTAAGACTAGTGGGGAATTTGTTGGGAGTTGCTGCTTTGCTTTTTCATATATATATATATATATATATATATATATATATATATATATATATGTATTGCAATGAGATCTGGACATGTTAGTTCTGTGTCTGATGTAGACAGAGCAGAACACAGCATGTGAAAAGCTCAGCCTAAAGGTTAAGTATGACTTAGATGGAAGGAAGTTGCATGGGTTGGGTTGGTATAGAGGATACAGATCCCAGTTCAACCCAGAGTTTATGACATTATTATCTGTGGATTGCATAATCCAAACTACATGATCATTGACTTATTCAGTTTTTACGTTATAGGCATTTTAATTATTTGTAATTAATTTTTAATTTGAGTGAAATAATTAAAATGCCTATTGGCAGTTTAGATTTTAAACATTTTTAAGGCTGTTTTGTGTGAATGGGCAACTTTCTTTCCAAGAAGATTATCCCAGCTTACAATCTTACAAGTAGATAACAAATAGATAAACAAGAGCTTACCTTGCTTATCAATAGTGTATATTTGTACCACTAACATTTTGGGTAATATGTTATATTAGTACCACTTTCACAGAAATGGAAATTATCTTTGCTTTTGTTTTCCATTCAGTGGCCATTAGTTGTGGCTCTTTGTTAATGGGAATTGTATGATTTTTTCCCGACTAAAGACTATATGGACTAAAGGAACCTTTGTGATGCTATCTAGAAAGTATTTTTCTTATATTTTCTATCAACTTTCTTAGTCACAATTGTCAAAATAGTCACATCTTGAAATGTGTTTCGTCCAGTTGATTAGACTTTCATTATATCTTCAGTTGTGTTATGGTTAACAAAGCCTTTCCCTCAGCACACAACAGATAAATGTATATATTTCTCTTTTAATTTTGGTTTTTGCAGTAATTAAACTCTAAACTCCATGGACTTCCCTTTGCTGTGGTATACAGTAAGGCTCTGCATTTTTCTAAGCAATTAGTTAGCTTGATAGCATGGCTTGACACATGACACTCTCGGATGTCTCTTTGGTTTTGGTCTTTCTGAAGTCCAGTCATTATTATATATGAAAAACAAACCTGCTACACTGCATAGTTCCTGTTCTCTTGCAGAGCATTCTTCATTCTTTGTTGCAATCGGTTTCCTAGGGATCAAATCTTATCCCCTATCCTCTTATCTTTCTTGCCTAATCTTTGTGTGACTGAATGATGTAATTTCTTTCATTCTTTTACATCTACCATATGTCAATCATTTTTATTTATTTTTGTCAGAATACGTCATATAGGATGCATTGCTCAGTGAGATTGGGAAAGATAATTGGTACTCTGCCACAAGAATTTGATTTCTTTTCCATAAACAGCTGTGATAGGGCTCGGGAGGAGCTTCCTGCATCTGTGACACAGAGCCAAAGTTGTATCACTTCCAGCTGTGAGGTGGAGCACCCCCAAATCCAGCCAGCTGGGATGAGCTGTACTTTAAAACTCTCGGTTATTTCCAAAGGAAAACCCAAGTTCATTGAAAAGCTGTTTAAAGCTCTGTAATACCCTATTTATGAGAATCCTCTGGATAGCCGAAAAGTGTCTCGTGAACAGACTTTGATGCTCAGGCAGTCTGAGACATGGGAAAGTTGCACAGCACTCACATGGGGCAGCCTTCGGCTAGGTGATGTGGTCGTGTAGAACACGTTTGAAGTTGATTTGATATTTCAGATGTGTATTTCAGTCCACATCAAGTCTACGTCCAAATATTTACCCGTTTCTTCTCTGAGACTGATCTTAAAAGGTGGTATTCCAAGAGGCATGTGATGTCTTACTTTTAAGTAAAAGACTCACTGAAGGCGGTTGTCATTCAATATTCTGAATTCTAAACCTTTGAAACCACAAATGATCCTAACACCTTACTACAAGAAGTACTCAGTACAGGAAAAGTATTTTAACATTATGTTATCCTTTTAAAAAGATAAATAATAATTAGGCTAAAAGCTTGTGCGTTAAATCACTCCCATCTTATGCCCCCGGTTACATTACATACAGTAATTTTTATAGCTAGGGATGCATTCTGTTGGCAAGCCCACTCAAGTTATACCAGGGACATGCGGCATCGCCTCTTCTGATTGGTTTGCTCCTTTGTTCTACCAGTTGTGAAGTACCTTCAGTGATGTCATTCCCATCTTTATCCCTAAAGTGACAATGCATGATCATAAGCAAAACTGTGATTATTCATATAAAACATAAATGCATCATGTAAAATGCATGTAAGGAGGAAGTGCTTGTTATAATATTTGTGATGTTTTTCTTTTTTCGGTATCTATTCCTTTTTAATGTAATATTTTTATTTATTCCATGTATGCAATAGATTATATACCTTTTTTGTAAAGTACCTGTGCATAACCTAATGTTTGTTAGTAGGTTTTATTTAAAATTCAAATGGCTTCAATTTAAATACATTGTCTCTTTAAAATTTTTAATTTGGTTAATTTGGCAAACACCAACAGTTATTGACCTGTGTACTACATTTGAATATTTTTTTGAAATGTAAAGTCATTTGACCCGACTTTCCTCAGAGTCTGTGTTCCTTTAAACCATGGTGCTAC